ACATATAAAACTTCGTCTATACTCTAATAAAAAGTTCCCCAGACCAAAGAGGTCACCTTAATACCAAAAAAAAAAATGATCCTCCTCCAATTTATGCTATAAGATTTTTATTATCGATCCATTTGTTACTATTTGGATTAATCATGTTTTCTTTAATAATTTTTTTGTTGCGTTCTGGATTCAGAATTATAAAAGTTTTTGCTCAAATAAGTAATCAGTTATAGTCTTCTGGAAGAGCATTCAAAATAAAATCTATAAGATTTTCTGGTGTAATTATATTTGCCTAATTAGTTTTTATAATTTTATTTCTTTTTTCGTTTATCATTAGTGGAAATTTTGGTTACGATGAACAAGGTGTATTTTTAGAATATTGTGTTATTTGATTTTATGTTTTTAAAAGACTGCAATGATCGTTTTACATTTTAAAGAATCAAAGGAAACAAAATCATATCTGTATCAATTAATACTTTATTAATATTATTATCATGATGGGATTGACAATACCACATGATTTTCGAACCTTTTTTGGGTGGCGATTTTACCCCGGTCCTGCGATACTATACAGTAAATACTTTAGCCAATCATACGATGTCCGACCATCTCAGATGCGATAAAAACTTATCAGTTATGATAGCGATAGTTTTTAGGCCTCATATTAAATTGTATAATGTGCCGCCAGTATTCGGACTTATAAATTTATCAGAGTGCTAAATCCATTCGGTGATGTTTTTTTAGCAGTAATGGTACATTACCCACGTTTATGTACTTAACGGTCATTTATACTAACATTAAAATGCTTTTGTTTGCTAACTTAGCTTTACCTTTGTTTTATTAGAGCTTCAAGGTGTTGTCTTTCTCCAGAAGTTTCATTTTTCGCCGGGTTTTGGGGGTTTCGCCTTTCGCCGGGGGTTCCACCTTTCGCCAGGAATTTCGCCCTACGCCTCTCGCCAGGGGATTTCGTTTTTCGTCTTTCACTAGCTTTAGGTTTTGTCTTTCGCCAGTTACAAAAACAGCTTCGCCTAACGACTATACGTTAAAAACTATAAAAAATATCTTAGAAAATTCAACACCTGGCTCGGAAATTGAGGTATATGGCTGGGTGCGATCTGTGCGCGTTCAAAAGAACGTGTCTTTTGCAGTAATTAATGATGGCTCGAGTCTAAAAGGCATGCAGGCTATTCTTTCAAGCGAAGAAGCAAAGAAGTTCAGTAGAGTTCATTATTTTTATAATTAAGTAGAATTTTACATAAGAATCGTCGATTAATCAGCCATCTGTTAAACATGATGTAGATTGATGACTGGTGCATGTGTTAGAATTCGTGGAATTTTGACCCAAAGTCTTGGCACAGAGCAAAGTAAAGAATTGCAAGCCCACCAGGTCGAGATTTTGGGTGAGAGTGATTCAGTAAGTTATACGAATCTCAAATTTAATTTATGCTGCAAATCCTCAATGAAACATTGAATTTTTCTATTAGACGTATCCTTTGCAAAAAAAATATCATTCTATGGAATTTCTCCGAGATAATTTATCTCTCAGATCACGAACCAATCTTTTTGGAGCAATCTTTAGAGTTCGAAATGCAGCTATCATAGGTTTTCAGAATTTTTTTCAGGTAGAATTTACACAATATCTCTAATGTTCAATCTCTATATCGACTCAACTAATAAAGGTTTGATATCACAAGACAAATGAATTCTTTCAAATTCATACACCTATTATAACAAATTCAGATTGTGAAGGTGGCGGGGAAGTGTTTAAGATTTCCGCTAACAAAAAAAAGGAACATTAATATTGAGCATACTAAAGATCATTTAATAGAAAATGAATTTTTTGGTTCACCTGCATATTTAACTGTTTCTGGACAGCTACATGCCGAAATTTTAGCCTGTGCGATGTCAAGAGTTTACACATTCGGACCAGTATTTCGTGCTGAAGAATCTCTTACATCAAGACATTTGGCTGAATTTTGGATGTTAGAAGCAGAGATTGCATTTATGTTTAAATTAGAAGAATTATTAGACTTTGTGGAGTGCTGTCTTCGAGAGA